AAAATTGTCTGTATCTGCTGTCCATGGGTCTTGTCAGTAACTTTTATGATGTGAGACATTGATTTGTTTGTACAACCATGCCATTGAAGCCTTAGCCCTGCCATAATGCCCCTAACAATTCTCCAACCACATCTTCTTATACAAACAAGGGTGTCAACAAGTCGAGCTACTCAGAGTTACTGCAATGTCATTATGGCATCGAGTTCGATTCATTTACTTAAACAAGTTCAATTTTAAATCATAGATTTTTTATGGTGTGTTATGCAGCAGAAAATAAGGATTCGAGGTTGGTTTTGAATCGAATTTGGGTTCCATGTTGTTTTAAATTCTTTTTCAAATGGAGCTCCAGCACAAGCCAAGGAAATTATAGGAGAGTAAAATTCAGAATCTCAATGGACCAGCCGATCAGCCCCCTCTCTATAATGGCAGATCTTCTCATGGGACAATGAGAGGACATGCTATCTTGTGGGGTTAAGTCATCCATTCTAAGAGACGGGAAATTTTACACCTTTGCATGTTGTTTGGTTAATTTCTAGGTTGATCCTGTTTCAAACACTCTTTAATTATTGATAATCATGCACAGGATTTAGAAATATGATGAATTCTGGTGATTGGACCCTTTTTTTTTTTTTTTCTTTCTTTTCCTTCTTTTGTTTTTGATTACATGGGATAATGTATAACAGAATTCTGAATCATCAGTCTCATAAATGGTTGCAGAATCTAATCAGAAAATCAACTAAGAGTTCTCTATAGTTATTTAAAACTACCTTTCTTTCATATCTTTCTTGCTTTTTTCACAAATAATTGAAGCTAATCTATGATGTAGCATTATTTGTGATTATAGAGACACAGAATCGACTAGCCGGCACAGGTGTTTCTGATACTCTGTAGATTTGAAGTGTGAGATGCAGATTCATTACTGAAGATGCCATAGAACAAAACATGTGATGTCGACATTATGATGTGAAGTAGATTTGAAGGATTTGGTGATGGCCCCATTGCCTAGACATGAAAGGAAGGGTAAATGGATTGTTAAGATAATGAGACAAGCATGGCCACATATGCACTGATGCAACCCCTTCCAGCTGAAGGGCATTCACTAATTTTCCTGATCTCCAATCCAAATGACCGGGCAATCTCAGCTTTTTCAGGCACTTTCGTCTTCAAAATCATGTCGGGAAACTGTCATAAACTACTATTTAATACCTAAATTTGGTGTGATTAACATGAATGCAGTGATAGGTTCAACAGAGAAAGAAAATTTCATACTTTGACTATAAGTAGATGCTTGATGCTCAAGGTACTTAGCATCATTGGCGAATCAGATTGACAATTACTTGACAATTCCTTTACAGAAACTTGCATTTGACAATCCATTTTATGTCATATAAACAGGGTAAAATAGGGTTTGTTACTGGAGTTTTCAAGCTTAAGCTTGGCTTGAACTGGAACAACACCAGAAACTTGAATTCCTCTCTTCATTTGGAAGCAAATAGCTCACTTCCTAGAGTGATTGTTGCAGTACTTTCACCCATCATTGTTGTTAATGCCATCTCTTTCTCACGAATCTGTTCAAGTCCATGCTCGACCATGTCCATTCGTGGTCTCCCAGTTCCTGGGAAACTCATGCATTGTAGTGTCAGCCTGATCAAATCTCGGATTCCTTCCATGGTGAAGGTTCCCACTAGCCGGCGATCAACAAAATTGTTTGTACTTAGTTCTGATAGTACCTTCAAAAAGATAGAGAAAGCAATAGGATTCAAGTTCTTTTTTTGTGTTTCTCATAAGGTCAGCAAGCATATATAACTTGGAAAATGTTGATCATTTTAAAGAAAACACCAGAAATGGAGAACATTCTCCTACCCATTGAATCAAGGTATCATTGGATCCAAATGAGCCTATTTTCACAGCTTGCTGTCCAGTTACAAGCTCCAAAAGAAACACTCCAAAGCTGTAAATGTCACTCATTTCACTGAAGTTCCCTGCAGCTCCCACCCTGAAATTCACACATAATTTAAACTGAATGTAAGTAAAGGATTAATAGTTTTCATAGTAAAGAGAGACCAAATAAAATCTGAAGAAATTGATTTTTACTCTGGATCTTGGAAAACATTGGCAGTAGATGTGCGAGATGGACCTGCTTCTTCTATCTTTTCGAGTAGCCTTGACACCCCAGCATCTGCAACCTTAGCAATGAAGTTCTCATCAACCAAGACATTGGCTGTTTTAAAGTTCCTGTGTACCAAAGGAGGCTTCAGGCTGTGCAAATGACATAGACCTGCAGCAAACAAACAGAATTTCCTCAACCACAGTGAAAACTAGCCTTTCCACTTATCACAATTCTTCCAGATTTTACCTTTAGCTGCCCCCAGAGCTATGGATAGCCTCTGCTTGAACTCAAGCCTAGTTGATGACTCTAGTCCAGTATCTGAAAGACAATGGATGGATATATAATCTGCTGCCTTTAAAATCATACACAGGAAAAACCAATGTTGTTAAAGGAGTCATACTATATAGGTGATTGCACATGTTGCCATTTGGTAAATATTCATATACCAACATTTGCGATCCATTTTCTTGACAGTAGCCTAGAAGAGAAACTAAGTGCCGGTGTCGAATCTCTGACAGATAGGTTACCTGTTTATCACATAAACATGTAAATTTTCTCCTGTTTCCAAATTTCTGAAGCGAGGGAAAAGTACACTTGGATGTTAAGATTCTTGATCAAATGATCATTACCACAGATGCATTCTATAGAATGAACTGAACTCTGATAAAAAGTAGGAGAAATAATGCAAGGGAAGAAGAAATCCTGATGAGACTTAACTAGCATTGATAGATACCTCTGCAACAAATTCTGTTGTAGGGGCACCTGCTCGCCTTTTGATAGCTACAATAGTATCGCGCAGCAAACCTTTATATACTTCACCAAAGCTTCCATATCCAATAAGGTTACTTTCATTAAATTGTCTTGTAGCTCGCTCCAACTCTTCCATTGTGAACCGCTGTGCTCCATGTGGTGCAAACAAAGACTGACCGGAAGATGAACTTGGTCCAGCTCCTCTATTCCACTCCACTGCAATGTTGAGGCAGAAACCATGTTCAACATCGACAGCACAAGAATTGTGATATGATTCATGAATTGCTGTACAATGAGCCTTACCTAGTGCAGAAGGATCTGAGGAACCTGTCTCCGAGTTCCTATTAGACAAGTTCTTGCACTGTGACTTGCAAAACCAAATGAATCCAATGACTAATATCACGACAGCAACTGCTCCGGCAGCAATTCCGATTATGGTTGCTGTCTTTGACATCTCCTCCTTTGAACTTTAACATTGAACCTGAGATGCTGAAGAACATAAGACTGTCAGTTTTAAACGATTTAAACAAGCTTCAGTAGGAAAGAGGATCCTGTCTCACATAATCATGAAATTGAAAAATAGATTTCAGATACAGTAACTCAGCAATTCAATACCTACAACAGAAACCAACAATGAAGTGGTCCTTATAATTGAAGTTCCTCTAATTTACATCCTGCATTTTGACGAACCTGTACTCCTAGTATTTCTATTGCCGACAGGACCTTCAGAGCAGCAAACTGGGTGACCTTCAAGTATCTTTCAGGGGATCTTGTTGTTGGTAAGGATTCAATGCTGCTCAAATATGAAGATGAAGCAGAAAAGACCATAAGACAGCTCATTTGCTTTTCAAAGTACCCCACTTCTGCTGTCCAACATCCAGCATCTCTCATCAAAGTGACTGTGAGGAGAAACCGTACATCTCTCAAAGAACACACTTCCTGTGCTAGCAAACACAACCAATTTTGCTTGCTTTTTTGGAAGAAATGGAGGAATATTGTAAACAAATAGAAAAACTCAAAGCCTAAGTTATAACCAAACCCAGACCTTTCTTGTGAGGGACTTCTTGTTATATATATTTGGAATTGATTCCTCAAAAATCTCAGCAATCAGTCTCTATATATGTTTCAAAAACGGATGCAAGAGCATTTGATGCATGAAAAAGAACTTTTGTCAAATAAAACCAATGAAATCTGTGGAAGTACAGTGAAATTAATACAGCCATATACACGAACAACTTCTGTGGAATCTTTCCTTCTTCACCAGAAAATCAATGCACATGTGGGGTGTGCTTCAACACTGTAAAAAAACATTTTTGATATTTTTACTGCATGGATATGTACAGGCTAGAAAGTGACACAATTGGACTAGCACTAGAAAGACATAATTATTGGTGGCTGATCAAAAGCTAAAAAGGCAGTTATTTCACTGTATCAATTTCAAGTCTCTTCCTTGGAATTCACTGTGTCCTCCTTTTTGCCTCTTTGTTGTCATCTGATCTGGAAAGGAAACAAGAGGGCAGTACCTGTTTTTTGGTATGGAAAGATGGGGACTCCTCCTCATCTGATGGGGCCATGACAGCTAAGCCAAACAAGACATTAACAACTCTCCCAATCAGTTTCCATGGCTGGGTTTTCTTGGGTTTTCATTGCTTAACAATGAATTTAGCAGCTTATACAAAATGAGTAATTGAATTTGCCT